GTTGCCATCTTCGCAGGGCACGTGGCCGTCGCGGAAGGAGCCGTCGCCCCGCGAGCTCCCGGCCATCCCCTTCATCTCCGCCGTCGCCCGCAAGAGGAAGAAGTGGCGTGAAGCCGAATGCTTCGGCAGCAGCACCGACGACGACGCGGAGCACAGAGATACGCGGGGCCGGGGGCAGGAGGAGGGCACGGCCACCGCACCGGGACCCGGCGGAACCCCACGCACCGGGAAGGAAAACGCCGTGGAAACCGGCGGTACCGGGCAGGAACCGGCAGCGGACGCCCGCTCCATCGTGTCGGGGTATTCCACCCTATCCACCATGGAGCGAAGTCTGAGCTCCGAGGTGCAGTCGGTGGCCGAAAGCCGCGGGGAGGAGGCGGATGATGAGCGCAGCGAGCTGAGCCACGCGGAGACGGACACGGAGAGCCGAGCGGGGCCGGGGGGGGCGGCGGCTGGGCTGGGGGGCGGCGATAGGGCATCACCCGGCCGGCCCTCCTTCAGTTCCCACCGCCTCATCCAATGCGATACGTTGGCACGTAGGAAGCTGGGCAGGGCGCGGCCGGGGGGGGACAACACGCTGCCCGTCGGGGGTCTCGCCCTGCCCGTAACAGAGGGCGCTGGGGGCGGTCGGGTCCCCCCGGTGCGGCCGTCATTGCGGGAGCAGCTCCGGCAGCGGCTGCGGGGCTCTGCGGATGACACAGGGGTGCGACTGCGAAGGACCCCCTCCCCGGAGACCCGGCGTAGGAAGAGCCGTTGGAGGCGGCACACGGTGCTGGTGTTGCCCGGCGGTATCACCGACCTCAATTGCAACGAGTGGAAGGGGTCGAGGGGGGGGCTGTCGGTGCCCACCGGGCCGTTCCGCGATCCGGATTCGGGGCTCAGCAGCCTGGAATCCACCAAAACCCGGCCCGTGGTTCCCGACCCCCCCGGCACCGGGACCCCCCCGGGCAGCCCCAGCCCTGCCGGCCCCCTACGCTTCCCTCAGTGTCTGTGACCTCCTGGGGCTGCTGCCGATTCCCCCCCCCCCCCCCCC